GGGTATATAGGAGTCACCCGGTGGTCAGTCGGTTGGTCGGACGGGCGGTCGGTCGGTCCAGACGTCTGTTGCATTTTCCTTGTCCGGAGCAAAACTTGAAGACTAATGGTTTGAATTCAATATAACTACATACAATGGTCAAGCACATTGAGAGGAAGTGCAGTGCACAAGAACCATAACTCTATCTTAACTAATTACAGAGTTATTGCCCTTTGTTACTTTTCCTTGTCCGAGGCATAACTTGAAAACTACTGGTTGGAATTCAAAACAACTTCATACAATTGTCAAACACAATAAGGGGAAGTGCAGTGCACAAGAACCATAACTCTATCTTAAGTAATTACAGAGTTATTGCCCTTTGTTGCTTTTCCATTGCTTTTTTTTTTGTCCGGACCATAACTTGAAGACTAATTGTTGGAATTCAATATAACTACATACAATGGTCAAGCACATTGAGAGAAAGTGCAGTGCATAAGAACCATAACTCTATCTTGACTAATTACAGAGTTATTGCCCTTTGTTACTTTTCTTTGTCCGGGGCATAACTTGAAAACAACTGGTTGGAATTCAAAACAACTTCATACAATTGTCAAAAACAATAAGGGAAAGTGCAGTGCACAAGAACCATAACTCTATCTAAAGTAATTACAGAGTTATTGCCCTTTGTTACTTTTCCATTGATTTTTTTGTCCGGACCATAACTTGAAGACTAATGGTTGGAATTCAATATAACTACATACAATGGTCAAGCACATTGAGAGGAAGTGCAGTGCATAAAAACCATAACTCTATCTTGACTAATTACAGAGTTATTGCCCTTTGTTACTTTTCTTTGTCCAGAGCATAACTTGAAAACTACGGTCTTGTGGGGGTATTAATCACATTTAGTGATAGTTCTAGTTTCATTTGTTTCATCTCTTTTTCTTTCTCTCAAAATTAATATCATGATGGATGCTTTAAGCATATCAAATAAGTTTATCTTGTCCTTTTGGCTGTGTATTTCCTAGGTGTTTTATACACCCATTTTATAAATAAATCAGAATGCATAACAGATCGCCCCCCGGCTAGCAGCATCCAGGCAGTGCCCAGTGTTTTCCTTAGCATATTTTTTGCATATATGGAGGTTTTAAGTATAATTTGAAATAAGTATTCACCGTATTAAGATGTGGTGTCACCTATATGAAACAGGTTTCTGGGTTAAAGATCAAGGTCACACCAAGGGATGAAAGAAAGAAAAACACTTTTAAGTCAAAGGTAAAGCTGTCATCAGTAAAAACAGTATCAATGTATCATTGATATTATTCTTTTGATTAATAATCGATACAAGTTTGAAAAAATTGATAATTTTGACTAATTAAATGAATGTCTAGAGATTATGAAAATTCAAACTAATCATATATGCAGAAGTAGATGTCCATTTCAAACACTATGCAATCATTACATATGGGGCATACTTCATAAAAGTGATGACAAAAAAAATGTTCTAAAAAAATCATGCAATGGTCATTTATAAACAAGACACATCATAATGTATGAAAACAACATGTATTTTATGGATATCATTTAAACAAGTTTGAAATTGAATTATAGGAAAGCATTTATAAGCCATCATCGATTTAGCGGTGTATCGCCAATATTTGTCATCGGATATCAATATATCGTTGAAATGCTTTGAACTGAATCAATGACATAACTACAGAAAATCTGGTTGTTTAAGAAATATCCGAAATGTTTCATAAATGTTACTCTATTGACTTGTAAATACTTTTGGAAAACATTTGTATTGATTAATCCATTATTAATAGACAGACCTGACTCAAGTGATTGATATAGGACCAACATGACCCTCTTGTTTCATTATGATATCTCTACATTTAGCTCATAGGCACTTGATGGCAAAATTTTATTTTGATCTACTAAATTTACTGTGGATAGTCAACAGGTAGTAGATAAAAAAATCAAGTGCCTATGATTTAGCTATTTAAGTTTTTATCATGTAATACAGTTACATGTATTTTGTAATGATATGTGATTGTAAAATTTTGATCCTTTTATATCTACATATATACATGTATAAGCAACTTATTTGATGTTGTTTTCAATTTGAGAACTAATTATCATTATCAGAGCTTTATTGTATGGCATTTTGTGTTGACTTGTTTGTTTAGAGTTTATGAAATGCCTACAATATAGTAAGGACTGAATCTAGAGCATCCCTAATACTGGTTTGGTCTGGTCAATTAATTTACGTGTAAGGTATCCAGATAAACCAATTATAGAGGGAATATTTTTGGGGTGGAACTCTTCATACCAGTTGATCAGTAATGTGATAGGAAGGGGTCATATTTACAATAAATTGGGCCGTCTATACACAGTGTATCAGTACATTGTAAATTTATCACAGAATTTTGCATTCTGAAGATGATCTTAATAGCTAGTATGCTTTAAAGGGAGTTCCACTTAGGTCCAAAAGCTTTAGGAAATAGAATTTGTAATTCTTAGATAGATGAACTGGGGAACTAAAAACTAAAAATTATGCAAAAGAAAATAAAAGATAATAAAGAAATATACTTGGAATCAAATTGAATTAAGGCCTGATTTGAGTCAATCTTGTTAAAGTTAACCTATATCAAATAGTACACAAATATAAAAAAAAAATTGCAATATCCTGTTGTGTCAAAATACCTTGTGAAGTCTCTATAACGTTCACAGAAAACACAGAAAAAAGTGTTTAAAATTTGTTTTAGAAAAAGTACAATTCAATTTTGGGGTTTACAACTTTAGTCATTTGAGGTTATTTAATCTTTTATGTATAATTTTTCAAAACATTTAATCGTAAGAGTTGTGCAAGACGTTTGTTTTTCATCCAAAAAAACTAAAAAAAAACTAAAAAAACTTCTCCTCCTATATTTATTTTACTTTTTTAGCTCGACTATTCGATAAGAATAAGTAGAGCTATTGCAGTCACCCGAGCGTCGGCGTAACCACTTATGTTAAAGTTTTTGTAATAGTTCAAATATTTTCAAAGTCCATTGACATATGGCTTTGAAACTTTGCACACTTGTTCACCATCATGACCCCAACCTGTAGACAGGAGGAGGTAACTCTATCAAGCATTTTGACAGAATTATGCCCCTTTTTCGACTTAGAATTTACGTTAAAGTTTTTGTAATAGTTCAAATATTTTCAAAGTCCATTGACATATGGCTTTGAAACTTTGCACACTTGTTCACCATCATGACCCCAACCTGTAGACAAGAGGAGGAAACTCTATCAAGCATTTTGACAGAATTATGCCCCTTTTTTGACTTAGAATTTATGTTAAAGTTTTTGTAATAGTTCAAATATTTTCAAAGTCCATTGACATATGGCTTTGAAACTTTGCACACTTGTTCAACATCATGACCCCAACCTGTAAACAGGAGGAGGTAACTCTATCAAGCATTTTGACAGAATTATGCCCCTTTTTCGACTTAGAATTTACGTTTAAAGTTTTTGTAATAGTTCAAATATTTTCAAAGTCCATTGACATATGGCTTTGAAACTTTGCACACTTGTTCACCATCATGACCCCAACCTGTAAACAGGAGGAGGTAACTGTATCAAGCATTTTTTTTACTATCAAGCACTAAGAATAGTCGAGCGTTGCTGTCCTACCGACAGCTCTTGTTTTCCCTGCTTTCTAAGGGTCATTAAGATTTTTAAAACTTGGCAACTTTGAAACTTTATAGATGTGAGATGACATCAAATGCCCCTATTCATCATTCCCTCAAATTATTTTAGTTCAGCATGCATGTACATATTTTGTCCCTGAGATTTTTACTATTTACTTTACTGATACTGTCATGAATAAACATTTCAAAGAAACTATGATATATTTCAAATTTCTGGAGAAATGACAAACTGCATGATTTCAAAGATTTTTTTATCGGGGTGGATGGTGAAATAACACTTGCATCAACTGATTTTTCTCTCTAAGCTTAACATTTTATGGTGACCTTTATACATGTACAATAGAGTATAAGAAAGTATTAAAGAGAGGAAGGAAGGAGGGTAATTTGTGTATAAATTAGTGAATGTATTAAATTGACATTATCATTACTGTACTAGATTAACCTGGGTGTTGTTGTATGCTAATTAAGGCACCTTAATTAATTAATCAACATGACCAGTGGATGGCTGATACCAACCTAAATGTTAACTTGTATCAAACCTTGAAAAATTGTAAAATTCTATACTGTAGAGTTCTGTGAATTTGTGATCTTTTTAATTTAGTAGAAGTAAAATAATGGAACTGTACAAAAAGATTAGAATTAGAAAATATTTCTTTCAATAGCCAATTATTAAATACCTTGTGGAATTCTGGATACAAATTAGAATAAAAATTATTTTTATTATCAGTATCATACAAAATTAAAAAAAAATCAAAGAAAAGTATTCAATTAAAAAAAAAGGTAAAACAACTAGAATGGAGAAATAATAAAATAAAAAGAATCGTTATGTTTGAATGATTGATTTATTAAAAATTATTTTCACATTGAATTGAAGTCCATAAAAATTTATTGTATAAACTTGACATAATTCTATTGATCTATTGATTATTAAGATACAGATTAATTTATATTCTTGTCTCCTGTTGAATTTAACCCTTAACCTGCTGAATTTGGTTAATGGATTTGCCCAGGTCTGAATTCTAAGAATAGTCCATTTGAAAATTAAAGGATTTCAAGATCAGAATACAAAAATTTCAATAGTATTGAATCTGTGCATACTGACCTGGCTCTATATTGGTGGCAAAGGCTGATCACCTTTGGTTATAGCAAGTGAAGGTTACGTAATACTCTTCTTTTTTTTTCTCTTCACTAAAAATCTTTTACTCATACCTTCCTATATTTTTTCCTGCATATAATGCTTTATATATTTTATCATGGTAGAGAATGAGTATGTAACTCATAGTGATATCATAGCATGTATAGATACAGGAAACATAAAGACATTTATATTAATAGAATCAGTAATTAAATGTCTCTCCTACAGTAATTGAATTGTATGATAGCATAATGATAAACCATTTAGTACACAGCCAAATATAAAGACATCTGTCCCATTAGACCCATGCTCATAAATGAAATCTCTGAGCCAGAGTTCATACATGGAGCATATAGATACTGGAGTTAATTATCCGATTTTATTCAGTTAAACACACTAACATTAAGAATCTAGTATAGAAATTGTAAAATTGAAATTGTTTTACTTTTCTTTATTATCATTTTGAGAAAAAGGAAAACATTGTACATTTTGATGATGTGGTGAGAACTTTAATATAAAGACAGTGCAGAGAAGAAATATAGATATTGTTAATTTAAAGGTGTTGTTTGCTGGAAGTTAACTGTACTGTTTAGATAACTTATTTTAAGTGCTGATTGAACGTAAAAGAAGGTTGTTTTTGCGGACATGGAAGGTAAATTAATTAAACTGCTGATAGTGCTAGGTATATGTTTTCTGTCAAATGTGAAAAACAGCTCCTGTGTTGAGGATGATTCAGCAGTTTTAGTGTGTCCTGAACAGTGTACCTGCTCTAAAAATTTTGTAACAATTCATTGCAAGAACAGTTTCAAAATAGAAGGACATGACTTATCAAGCATAACCAAAGAATTCTATTTAACTAGGAATTTTATAAGTCCAATTTTAAACCACACATTTAAACATTTGACTTCCTTGGAAATAATTGATGTATCCTATAGTTTGGTGAACTATCTTCAGAGTGGGGCATTTGCTGGGCTTACAAAGTTGAAAACACTTAACCTTCAGGGTAACATGATTCAGTTGCTGGATGAATACCTCTTCAAGGATAATCTTCAGCTCGAAGTTCTCGATCTAAGTCACAATTTACTGCATTACTTACAGGACGAACCTTTTAGATTTCTTCCGAATTTAAAAATGCTGAATATCAGTTTTAACAAATTGTCGTCTGCTAAATTAGGAATGAGATTTCAGGTGCCAACTAGGCTTAACGTTATTGATTTTACTGGAAATGACATCGAAAACGTAACAGCAGACGACTTTGCTACAACCAGACGATGGGAATCTATACCAAAGTATTTAAATTTTTCCAACTGCAATCTGAAAGTCATCGAAGCAGACGCCATTAAGAGTATGAAAAATTTGGAATTTCTTGGACTAGCTAATAACAAGGATTTGATAATTAAAAATATTTCACTGTATTTAGATGTGCTTAGTGAGGTGACATTGAAGAAGCTTGATTTATCCAACACCGATATTTCTACTAAAATAAACGTAACCGACTTGACATCTGAAAATCTGGGAACATTATCTTTGCATGAACTTTCCTTGTCTAGAAATAATTTGAATGAAATTGACAATATTTTATTATCTTATCTGACACTAAGAAAATTAGATGTTAGTCATAACAATTTGATTGAATTAGGGGAAGGTATCGCAAAACTCACCCATCTAACGCAGCTTGACTTGTCACATAATAAAATACATACTGTACATGAATTATTTAAGGAAAATCTCGGAAAATTGCAAATTCTTAAACTGTCCAATAATAATCTAACAAATGAAAGTGGACTTGATCTGTCAAAAGGAGTTAAACTAACTGATGTTGATTTGAGCGAAAATTTCTTAGAAACTTTTACTGTACCATCACAGCTGACTAATGTTGAAATATTGAAGCTTTCGCGTAATAAAATTCACAGTTTAAATGGAGGTGAACCACTTCTTGGTCTGAATAAACTGAAAACATTGGATATGAGTGACAACAAAATGACTGAACTACATAACTTCATGTTTAGAGATTCAAGAAATATACAATTTGCTTTGTTTGCTCGAAATGATTTATCAAGTGTTAGTCATCAAGCATTTATTCCAAACTCGCCAGCAGTGATAGATTTATCTGAAAATCTTCTCGAAAAGATTCACCATTTTGGATGGAACCATCTTTCAGAGATTATACTGAGAGGAAACAAAATTTCTGAAATAGAGCCACAATCATTCTTCTTCTTGAACTCTTTAGAAAAATTGGACTTAAGTGGAAACAATTTATCACAATTAGATGAAGCAGTATTTTCTCACTTGACTAATCTGACTACTTTATATCTACACCAGAACAATTTGAATGAGTTGGTTCCCATACCAGATCTACTAGCTCCTCTTCAAAGTCTCCATTTAGTTGATCTCAGTAGCAACAACTTCTCCTCTTTTGCTTTCAAGCCATTGCCATTTTTAAATAACTTTGATTTGAGGGAAATTTTGATCTCGTCAAATAGGATTCGAGAGTTGTCACCGCATGTATTTTCAACAGTTAGTAGTCTTAAATCTGTTGATTTTTCATTTAATCCTTTTCACTGCAGCTGTGAAAATGTCCCGTTACAAGAATGGGCGTTGAAAACTTTAGTTGATATTAAACATCGTGATAATTATGGATATGTTTGTCGTTCTCCTAACACAAGAGGCACCAGCACGTTATTGAACTTTGAAACACGAACATTTGAATGCAGCCGCTACCTATTTTATATTGTTGTGTTCTGTTCATCAGGAGCAGCTTGTATGTTGATAGCAGTTGCCATAGCAACCATTTGTTACTTATATAAGAAAAGAAAGAGGGGTGGTGTTGATATTGAAAAGAATGCTGAAGAGATAGACTTGATAAGCTATGAAAAATTAAACAAATCGGACGTAGATGCAGTTACACCAGAAGAATATGTGAAAAATATTCGAGACAACTACCTCAAAGGCTCGCCATCAGACACACTTATAGACGTTCAATTTGAAAATCCAAATCTATTAATAGATGCTAGAGATAATGAAAAGCTCATTAGCAAAAAGCAGCCATTAAAGTCGAAAAAAGAGAAAAACAAACCCCGTGCTTCTAAAACTAAAAATGGTCATCATAAACTGACAGATGAGAAGAAACTGAAATATTATGCTCAGTTGTATGATATATTACATGAAAGTAAAGAGAATAATGGCAAACATCATAAAAGACCAGATAAACAAAACATAAAGAAAGTAATTGAGGCTCTTGAGAAGGAATACAAGAAAAGAAATGAAAAAGACGATTTAAAGAAAATGTTGATTGCTATGGATAAAGAATATAAAAAAATTAAGGATAAGAAGGCACATGCAAAAGGAAGAGCTCATAGTAAGGAACGGCACCGTAGACCTCGTGGAAATAAAGATCTTGTTAGAATGGTTTCATTGAGGCAGTCAAAAAGTATGCCAGATGTTCTGAACTATGTGAGTAGTTTGCCCAGACAGAGGTTGTACCGGAATGATTATGCCTATTCACAGATTCCTATATATCATATTGACCATGCAGACAAGGTCCATCATGGCTGGGCAAGAAGTATGGTAGATATCCCGAGAGGTCAAAGGTTATCCAGTGGGCTCTTAGAGGAGAGAGGTATGATGAAAAGGAGACGACCGTCGTATGAAAGGCTTATTGATGATGTTGACAGGATTCCCCATGGTTATCATACTGTGTCGTCAGGGCGACGGGCAATTATGGTAGATAGCAGATTGTTTGGAAGGTCAAAAAGTTCAGATCGGGTAGGTCACTTAAGTCGGGAAAGGTTGCTGGATGAGGAAGTAGAGCCAGATTTACATCGTGCTAGTATAGAAGATACTGGTACAACCAGGAGAACAAGAAATGCACATAGACCTGAGCACCGACCTAGAAGGCAGACCTTGGCATCAGGGGATATGGTCAGAGAACCCCGTGGATATCACACCATTGCTTCTGTGCATGGTACAGCTGTAGCTGACGATGAGGCTTATAGAAGACCCTCGGGACATTTAACAAAATCTAAATCCTCCAAAAGTGACAGTCAATTAAGCCCATGGGTATAGCTATTTGTTGACAATCGGGTTGCTAAGAAAAAGGAAATTTCATTTTAAACTAGAACAGTTTTAGTAATTTGAAGTTTTATGTATTTGGCATTATGATAAAAAATAGATATGTTCTTTAAAAATTTTGTATTAAAAAAAATTTCTTTAACAAAGATAAAAAAGTGTTTAAATCTGAAAAATGTAAACAAAGAAATTTTGAATTTTAAATATTTCTGCATTTTAATTAAATCTGTTCCAATCAAACTTTTGTATATATTTATATCTTAATCAGTTGTAATTGTTATTATGTCTGGCACAGCGCTATCCTTATATATCACGTTTTACATAAATCATATTTTCTTTCATGTATTTATATTATTGCTAAAATATATCGTTAACAAAAACTTGAAGCATTCATCATTTATCATTCATTTTACAGATACATTGTTTTTTTTATGTTGCTACATTTCGCATCTAATTACCTCATATGTATGTACATGTATATGATGAAGCATTATATAAGTATTCTAATGAAGTTATATGATAAAACAATTTATTATATACTTATAAATGAAATATTGAGAAATGTTGATGAAATAACATACTTATTTTCATTTTCCATATTTCACTGTAAAAATTTATTTTTCTCTGCAATGAAAAATATCTTCCTTATTTTCACTGGTGTCTTGCCGGACTACTTTCCTCTAAATTAGGCCAAAACACAAAATCTTAAGATTGCAATATCAGAAAAAGAAAAATGTATAAAATAAACAGAAAATTCAAGTTTTTTCTATCAATACAGGATTTATTTTCATCTTTTGGTATGAAAATTATCATATTTCACTCAAGGCTACCGCCACTCATGAAATATTTATTTTCGCACCACGCGATGAAAATAAATCTTGTATTTATAGAAAAAACTTGAATATCCTCTATGTACCTTTTTTTGTAAATGTAAATAATATAAATTTAAAGTATTTTTGGTTAAAAAAAAATATAACCAGTACAAAATAAATGCATAATTATTTCTGTTAAGAATTTCAAATGAACTTTTTTTTTACATGTTTATCAAAAGTTACTCTCATTTTCCAACTGCCTGTCAATTTAATATAGCATTCAGCATTTCAGTGAAAAACATTACTTCATTTGCATTAATTTCATTTATTGTGCTTTTTGTGGTTGCAAATAATGTACTTTTTTGGATAGTCTTAATAAACTATGTACATGTATAAATTTGTATCCGATTATACTTTTGATTATTAAACAAAGACAAGACTGTTGAATGAGTAAACATACAATATATGCTGGATTTTAAAAATGTTATGTTGATATGAATTAAATTGTAAATAAAAGCATTAAACCAGATAACAGAAATAGATTTTTTCTGCTATGTATTAAGTTTGTTATTCATGCAGAACATAATTATATGAGCCGCGTCACAACAAAACCAACATGATGGGTTTGCGACCAGCATGGATCGGCGCAGTCTGATCAGGATTAATGCTGTTCGCTTACAAACCGTATAACAAGTAGAGAAACTGATAGCGAACAGCATGGATCCTGATCAGACTGTGCGGATGCGCAGACTGGTCTGGATCCACGCTGGTCGCAAACCCATTATGTTGGTTTTGATGGACGCGGCTCATACATACATGTATAGTTTGAAATTTTGTCTATGTTGAAACATGAACATGTTCATTTAAGATATTGAGTGTGGTATAGATTAATGTTACAGAATCAATCATTCATATGCTTTTTAATCTGATACACAAACTTTAGTTTGGCATGTGTGATTTTGTTACTGCATATTTGACACAAACTGTGTAATTTTAACAAGAAGGTGCACTCAAAGCTATTTTTTATTTGAGTATATTTTTCCTAATTAAAATAAAAATCAGTTTAAATTTTTAATTTACAATATTGATGAATATGTGCCTAGCATGTAAGTTTTTAAGTGAACAGCTAGGATATTTCAAAATACAATCATCACAATGTTAACTGAGAAATGGAATTATATAGTTAATATTCTATTTAAAGTGTGTATTGTTTGTAACAATAGAGTGAATATAGATGTATTATTTATCTTTATATATTATAATGATAGAAAATAAACAGTATAAATATATTATTATTTGGTGTAATAAACATTTGGAAAGTAAATAGTTTAAGATTTATAGCTTTGTCACTAGTAACTCCTGCAGAATACCATAAATAACCTCTTCCCCTAATTAGTCAGCAAAGGTTTTCAAAAACAGGAATTTCCTGTATAATCAATATTTTCTCTGCCCTAACCATTCTATTTCTATCCGTAACATTTAACCCTTTCCCCCATGAGCATATTGTTGAAAATGGCCGTTTTTACTGAAAAGCCTCCTGTTACAAGTTCAAACTGCTATGAAACTATGAAAAATGCTTCAATACTAATCAAACTTGGCACAAATGTTGACTGGGCCATTGCCTTTGTAACGACATGCTCAGTCTTAAATTTCCTGTTACCATGGCAATGAGGGGACATCTCAAAATTGCCAAAAATCACTATGTTGCCTCGATTTTTTCCATCAAAATTTATTTCAAAGTGCTGCAACTTCTCAAGGGATTGAGATAGAGTCAAAGGCTTTTCAGCGTTGGTTACACGTTACATTATGATCGACCTGGGGTCATTTTTAGCCTCTCACAAGTCCAATAATCTTGGCGAAAAAGTGCTCAATTTTTTTAGCAACATTTCTCAAACGAAAACATGTGTTTGGGGCCCAAATAGGACATTTTTTCACTATTTGAGGCCTAAAAAAAGGGGGGGGGGGGGGTCGAAAGTGCGTTGTTTCGCGTATATATGAGGTAAAGGGTTAAAAAATAAAATAAAGTGTAGAACCCTCTCAACCTATAGTAAGTAACACATATTTAAAATGTTTTTTGGGGGAAAAAAAAAATATATATTTTTAAGTGAAACCACATATTTGAACAATCAGATATACACATGGTTTCACTCGACTATTTGATAAGAATAAGTAGAGCTATCCTAGTCACCAGAGTGTTGGCATAACCACTTATGTTAAAAGTTTTTGTAACACCTCAAATATTTCCAAAGTCCATTGACATATGGCTTTGAAATTTTGCACACTTTAGCACACTTGTTCACCATCATGACCCCAACCTGTAGACAGGAGAAGGTATTTCTATCAAGCATTTTGACAGAATTATGCCCCTTTTTAGCTTGACTATTCGATAAGAATAAGTAGAGCAATTGTAGACACCAAAGCGTCGGCTTAACCACTTACGTTAAAGTTTTTGTAATACCTTAAAAATTTTCAAAGTCCATTGACATAATATTATGGCTTTGAAACTTTGCACACTTGTTCACCAACATGACCCCAACTTGTAGACAGGAGGAGGTAACTGTATCAAGCATTTTGACAGAATAGTGCCCCTTTTTCTACTTTCGACTTCTTTGATATAAAACCAACAGACTTCTTTGAGAGCATAATAGGAGTTTCTTTGAAAAATTTTGCCCTTTTGTTAACTAAATTTATCATTATCAAGACTCTTTTACTATCAAGCACTAAGAATAGTGGAGCGTTGGACATAATTTATGTTAAAGTTTGCGTAACACCTCAAATATTTTCAAAGTCCATTGGCATAATTATGGCTTTAAAACTTTGCACACATGTTCACCACCAATTGACCCTAACCTGTATACACAAGGAAGTAACTCTGTCAAGCATTTTGACAGAATTAAGCCCCTTTTTGGACTTTATGTCAAAGTTTGCATTAATACCACATCAGATATTTTCATATTTCATCGACATCTTGCTTTGAAACCAGTTGAAATATTATACACTTCTTTGTGGGCATAATAGGACTCTCTCCAAGGCTTATAACATAGATTTGGGAAAAATGGCTCTTTTGTGAACTTAGAAAATGTTACATTATTTTACAAGACTCTTTTACTATCAAGCACTTAGAATAGTCAAGCGTGCTGTCCTACCGACAGCTCTTGTTTTTTCATAGGAAAAATTCTATGTAGGTTCACCTCACTAGAATTAGCAGGCTCTACACTTTATCCCGTAACAATTAATGAAGTATTAAAAATGTAATGGCAGAAACTAAAACCTGGTCTTTGGTTTATTGTGCCCCCCACAGATCACAGAAGAAAATCATGTGATAAAGGCACCATGAATATACATGTAAAAACACATAAAAATCGTGTCATTCATCACTTTTGTGTTGCACAATACAGTGGCGAAATTTAGGAATCACTTCCCAGTCATCGGTCTCCATCCATCTTTCTGTCCATCCATCAAAAACCTTGTCCTGACTACTCCTCAAAAACTACTGATGCAATTTCATCAAAACTTTACAGGAATGATCAGTACCAAGTCTAGTTGTGCAAATCTTGATCATTTTCCAGTTAAATCATTTTTGTCAGAGTTTAGGCCCTTTAATGATTTTTATACGCCCCTTTGAAAAAAGGGTCATATAATAGTTTCCCCCTGGCGGGCTGTCTGGTTTTGGGCAAACCATATCTCCTACATGCATCGAGAAATTTTAAAAAGAAACATCATAGAAATACTCACCATTATGTGAAGCTGTTACGCACACATAAACCGGGTCTCAAGGTCACACTTAAAGGTCATTGAAAAATGCTTGTCGATTTCAATATAACTTGGCACAAATGTTCACTATTGTAAGGTGGAGAGTGGCATAAAAAATTTAGGTCCTTGCAGTCAAGGTCAAGGTCACACATGGGTGTCAAAGTTCAGATTTAAATATGAAGTATGTATTTAGATCATTTAGTCATCATTTATTGAGGGATTGAAACACAAATGGTCATTATCATGACTACTGGTGTGAAACATGTAATTAAGATTCATATATGCAAGGTCAAGGTCACTAGCGATGACAGTCAAGGTCACAAAAGTGATAAAATATAGAGATTTTGTCCAGAGCAGTTCTTCATACACATTGAGGAATTTTAATGAAACTTTATAGAAATGTTGACCGGTCGCACACATGAACCAGTAGGTCAAAGATCACACTTACAGATCATTGAAAAACACTTGTCCAGAGCAAAACTTCTACATGAATAGAGGAATTTCAATATAACTTGGCACAAATGTTCACCATTGTGAGTGTTATGTGCAAAATTAAAGTCAAGGTCATACATAGGGGTCAAAGTTGCGATAAAAATATGAAAATGTGTATTCAGACCATTTAGTCATCTTTTAATGAGGGATTGAAACACAAATGGTTATTATCATGTCTACTCATGTGAAACATGTGATTTAGGTTAATATATGCAAGGTCAAGGGGACTAAAGATGATAGTCAAGGTCACTAAAGATGATAAAATATAGAGATTTTGCCCAGAGCATATCTACGAATATGGAGGGATTCTAATGAAACTTCATACAAATGTTCACCACTATAAGGAGCAGTGTCATGCGCATGAACTAGGTCTCCAGGTCAAGGTAACACTTAGAGGTCATTGAAAAACACTTGTCCAGAGCAAAACTTCTACATGCATAGAGGGATTTCAATATAACTTGGCACAAATGTTCATCATTGTAAGGCACTGGCTATATTATTTAGGCAGAGTGTCACATGCAAAATTTAGGTCCCTGCAGCTGTGAAATTTGAAGGTAAAGGGCCCACGAGTTGTTGAGATATTGATCAGAAACCGTTTTTACCCATAAGGTCAGTGTGATCTTGACCTTTGACCCCTTGACCCAGAAAATTCATTGAGGTCATCTTCTGACCAAAAGCAATGCATTATGAGCACTTCAGCAATATCTTCATATCCTTTAGCTGACTTTGATAAAATTTCAAAGGAGTGATTCTCTGTTCAAAGAAATAATCATTGGGTAACCAATTAACAAAATAGCTCAAATTTTATGCTTCTCAAAAAGATTGTTAAGGTTATTTCTTGTGGCGAGAGACTTTCTCGAAAGGCTCTTTAACTTTAGCCATTCGACCAATGCAACAACTTTAAAGGACACTGTTGCAGTTTATACAAATTTATTTTAGTTTGATCGTGTTGGAAGCTATAAAGTTATTGAA